AGCACCAAGGGTGTGATTGGCCCAGGCAACAGGTAAATAAAAGAGCAAAGAGGCTGGGCCAAGAGAGCGACTGTTTGAAGTGAAAATATGAGAAAAGGAAATGCTTACACATACTTATGGTAGGTGGTATCTTGTTTGCCATTATTCACTACCTCTTCCTTCTAACAGTATGACATACTACTGTTATGTGACTTGACATTCCTCCTGCAGGGAGAGTATACCTCCTCACCTCACTGGCTTTGGGCTTGGCCACTTACATGTTTTGGTCATTAGAATGTGAACACACGTAATATATGCCACAGCTGAGCAGAAGCTTTATGAAGAAGCTTCTTCCAGGGCTTTAGATCTTTCCCTCTGTCACAAGAATGGGAATGTCCCATATAGGTACTTCCCCTTTAACCTGGGTCCCAGAATGTGAAGACACTTAGAACAAAGCCACAGCTGACCACAGGCTACACTTCCTGTGAATGAGAAATACATGTTTTGTTGTTGCAAGACCATAAGGTTTTGTTACGATAGCAAAGTTGACTAATACAGAAAATGAGACTAGAAGTAGGGTGCTGCTCTGTAGACCTATCTTCAGCACCACAGAGTTGGTGGAATGGAAACTAAACTGTTATTTGGAGCTAGAAAAAAGTGACCTATGTTACATAGGGATCAAACACTTGGGGAAATTGTCACCTGCAATTACTTGAACATCAGGTAATAAACCTAATGAATTTGACTTTGGGTAAAGTGAAATAAATGGTTCTGCAAATAAACTATACTGAAAGTGAGAGATCTGCCCCCCCCCCAATTTTATAAATAGTGCCCCTTTCTGCACTCCTTCCTCTGCCTTCTTAGTGCCTGTCATCAGCTCTTGTGCCCTTATGCAACACCCCACCCCTACAGTGGGTGTGCCCCACTCACACCTGCCTCTACTACCATAATATTCTGTGCTTCAATGAGTCCCCAGTTTGTGGAGAAGGAGGAATTAAAGCTGAAGAACTGCATGAAACTGTGATTTCAAACTCAAAAGTAGATGGTAATGATCACTGAGTGACAAATATAGAGAAGGAAATTTGATTCTAAATTCTTCCCCATGTTAATATTTTAGAAGAATGTGACGATGAGGGAGAATAAGCAAATGCTCTCAAAATCATGCTGTATTATACACAACATCGTGTGAGACACAAGGGCTTAATTTAAAAAATTACTCTTCTTGAAAACTAAATGGTATGTTGTTTTCCAAAAGAACCACTGACTAGAGGTTTTCATCTAGAAAGTACTTTACTAGCTAGTATAAAAAATTTTAAGAACAAAGCAACTAACAATGTTCCCTGCTTTCTGAAGAGTTCCCTCTGTTCTATCTGAAACATGCAAACAATTGCCAAGTTAACTGATCTAACATTTTTACTTTAATTAAATGAAACCATACTTTATTCTTCCAGATCCTTATCAAGATATATATTAGAACTGTCTATGCTGAAAGTGATAAATATACATCTTATATAATCATCCAACTACCTGTAATACTTCTCAAATATATTTTTGTTGATATGCGATCAGCATAACATTTCCTTTCTACTGATGTTTCCTGGTTCCTGTTAATGGCCCTATAAAACAAGGATACTTACTTCTTTCAGATTACATAAACATAGTAATCTGTTCTCTAATTAACATGAATCTTTTTTTCTATTGAATCTTTAATTCAAGTTTAGGAGACAATAGCAGACTTCAGTAACCTGACAACCTTAGATGGTTGTAAAGTTCATTATTCTTTCCTTTGCTTTGTCAAGGCACCCCAAATTTAGGTTGGAGAGTACCTAGAGAGTAATTCCCTTTGAGGTTCCTGTTATTCATAAGGAGGTATGTTGCACTGATATAGTATCTGTATCAGTTAGGATTTGACCAAGGATTCAGGGCCACTGTGAGTGATGTGAATAAGGGAGTTACTAAAGGAGACCTTACACAATTTGGGAAGAAGCAGAGGAATACAGGTCCAGAAGGGAGCATCTAAAGGATTAGAGCAAAGTCTCTAAGATCACAAAGGAGAGTTGGGGAAGGCTATGGAAGTTTGTGGGCTCTGATTTCATGATGGGCTTACAGTTACTGTAGGTTAGCAGGGCAGATAGTGAGGAAGGAGAGCGGGAGCAAAGTAGGTAGAAGAAGGACAAACTCGGTGAGGCAGTGAGGACAGACTGGTACTGTTTTGTCTATTTCTCATCTATTCCAAACCTTTATTATGTGGATGGCCCAAGGCTCAAACTGAAAGAGATCTGGTAGGAGCTGGGAGAAGCTGAGTCCACTTGCTGCCCCACCACATGAAGGCTGCAGTCAACAGATTAGCGACAAGTATAAGTTGCACCTGGGGCCCTGCAGCAACCTGACAAATGTAAAGGCTTTTGCCTAACTCTGCCCCTTTCCAAATCTCAGGCAGGTTTCTCACATGACCAGCCTTAACCAGGAACCACACAGAGAAGAGAACTCTGGCAAACACAGCTGATAGAGAATAAAACGGCATAGTGCCCAGACATCCCTTCATGTAAACTGACCCTAAGATGGAGTTAAGCCTCTCAAAGACAACATATATTCATTTGATAATAAAGCCTATCATAGTACAGAATTTTAATGACTGCATTTATTTGCAAATTTTCCTCCAAACTTTTTTCTAATACCAGAAACATCACTACCAGCAAAGAGGTATTTATTTTGCTCTTACCAAGATAAACATAAATGTAAAACAACATTCAACATCTTATCACTGTTTGATTTTTTAAATGGAAGAAATCTACTTAATACTTCTCTATTCCCACCGAACTGCCCTTTACCACCTCAGCTCTTCTCATACTATCTTCTTTCTGCTTCTCCTAGGTCAAAAGTATTTAAACTCCAAACATAGGGCCTTCCTTCTTGTTCCTCCCTGCAATGTGGCCTTTTGTCAAAACCACCAAGGCCATCTGTCAGAGTCGTATAAATCTAAGCTATAATTATGAGTATGAATTTAAGTTCAAGTCTTTCTTACAGAGTTTTCTGTCCCATATAAATTAAAATATGAAGTATGTCACCAAATTCTATATCCTTGCAAACCCAACTCAGCTCTGAGACTGGTAACATCCCTAATACACTCTTGGAGTCCCTACAGATGTCTCTGCCCTCATCAAAGAATTTCTCCAGGGAGAGTAACAAGCTCAACTTCGTCTGAAGTCTTGGTCCCCAGGGACACATTCTTCCATACAGTAGTGGCACTGAACTCCCACTTGCCAGAAGCATTAAAATTGGGCCCAAGCACTTAGTTGACTTAATAGAACCTTCTGGAGATCACAGCTTTTTCAATAATGTTCCCCTCACTTTGGGAATTTTCAGGTAGGGTAACTTCTCAATAGAAGCATTTGCTAATAAGTTAACTCATTAACATATTATCCCTATGATATGGTAAAAAGTCACCAGGAATTGGGGCAGAAGATCCAAAGGTTGGTTCTAGCACAAGTCCCAAGGAGAAGGTAAAATCCACCTTCTTTTTCCCTGATGTTTATTTTTGAGAGAGAGAGACAGAGAGAGAGAGCATGAGCAGGGGAAGAGGCAGAGAGAGAGGGAGACAATCCGAAGCAGGTTCCAGGCTCTGAGCTATCAGCACAGAGCCCAACATGGGGCTCAAACTCATAAACCATGAAATCATGGCGGAAGTTGGATGCTTAACCGACTGAGTCATCCAGGCAGCCCTGAGAAGGTAAAATCCATCTTACAGGGGTGTTGTTGTGAAGTGGAAATTAGAGAATGGATATCCTATTCTCACCCATAATGACCCCTGACCGACTAAGTCCATTACCCACCTTTTTGGTAAGGAAATACCTTCCCTTTCCTGCATTGGGCCCTACATTTGGGTAATGGAGTGTTTATAGGACTGCATAGCCAATTCAGGGGCCACTTCACACCACACAGAGCCACCATTCCCTTGTATACAGGCCCTGTGGTGGACCTGCTCCACCATGACTCATAGCCAATTCCTGTGAGGTGGGAGGCCTTTCCACACTAATGGTGAGGGTTGTCTTTTTTCTTCATCCTCTTTCTCAAAAGGGTACATGCTATCCCTCCCTTCAGTCCAGCCTCACATTACTCAGGATTAAAAAGGTACCCTAAAAAGATTAATGCAAACATATTACATGTTATGTGACATAAATGCTTATTAACATAGAACATGCTTTTCTCCTTCTCTCTAGGTTTTATTTTATGTCACACATGGTCAACAATTTGCTTTTTGTTCCAATAATATTCCTAAGATAAGACCAAATATTTGACTTCAATTTCCTTATTTTTTCTTAAAGTTACTTATAATGAAGTTATAGCTATAAATATAATAAAGATATAATAAAAAGCAAACAAATAACCAAACATAGCTTAATGAAAACTAAAGCTAATGTCTGCTACATTTACATTTAAATGATAGAGAAGTAAGTATGTGGAAATTATCTCCATCATCAATAGCAGTTGCTAGGCTTATAAAATATTTTGTGCATGTAGAGACTACTGAAGCACAATAGATTTCAGTTCTCTTCTCTCTCTTCCTCATGCTGGCCTTATCAACATCCCTAGTCTGCAGACGAAAGTCAGTTCTGACTCTGAAGGGCATTTGATCATAGATTACACACAATCAAAAATTTCAACTTTTATTTATTTTTTTTAAATGTTTATTTATTTTTGAGACAGAGAGAGACAGAGCATGAACGGGGGAGGAGCAGAGAGAGAGGGAGACAACAGAATCCGAAGCAGGCTCCAGGCTCTGAGCTGTCAGCACAGAGCCCGACACGGGGCTCGAACTCATGGACCATGAGATCGTGACCTGAGCTGGAGTCGGACGCTTAACCGACAGAGCCACCCAGGCGTTCCATCAACTTTTATTTTTAAATGTTAAACTTACTACAGGCTGATCAAAAAAGATCAAATATGACTTCCTTAAACATGCAATATTTGAAACTGGAACTATTGGTTTATAACTAGTATTTTTAAGGTGCAAGAGCATTTCATGAAGATGTTGCCTGTTTCAAATACTGAATAAGATCATCTCTCTCACTCTTCTTTTTAAGACCAGCAAAGACCATTTTAGTTCCAGGGATATATTCCTTTGGGTTCTCTAAATATTCTATCAGAGTTTCCTCTCCCCAGATAATACCTACAAAGGTGAAAATAAGTTTTAAGTTTGTGTAGTTAAATTTGTAAGGTTTCCTTTCTGATGTGACCCACATATTTGAACAGAAGATTATTCCTGGATTCAATAGGAAAACTATTACAACTGGGAATACTTACAGTTTCTGATCTACAAGAAAATTCCAAAGTTAGTCTTTGGTGTTCTAGTCTTAGGGTTCCCTATAGAAATCTAATACTCACATGCTATTTAGCATGGCCCAAGGTACAGGAATAAACTTCCAACCCCAGACATGTTGGACATAAGCAGTACCCTATTCTCCTAGAATCAAAGTTCCTTCTAGAAGAGGCCTTAGAAATTAATCCAACCCCTCATTTTGAAGATGAATAAATGACCCAAAGAGAGAAGAAGAACTTGCCCTAAGATACAGACTATTTAGAGTTAAGAATGGTGACTGCTAACTCATTTTCATGTTTTTTCTTCCAATCATAACAAGTTGCCTCTGTCCAAATCTCTATCAAAAACCTATGGTTTCAGGAATCCAGTTTTATAATGAGACTGAAAGGCTGTCTCTTCTTTTTTTCCTTTCTAAAACCAGTCAAAAAGAATATGGACAAAGAGAGACAGAAATACTAACTCCACTTTTGATAAAATTTATCAAACTTAATATAATTAGAAGACTACCAAAAATACAAAACCTGGACGGAGTTAAGAGGACATCTGTCACTAATGATCTCAAAAGAAGAGTTCTCCAAAGTAGGTGGTAAATCCTAAGGGGTAAGTCATAGTCCTCTATGAAGCTGGATGTGAAAATCTTCCTAAATTCAATTTGACACCACGAAGGGTCGGTCAGAGGAGCCAGGATTAAAGAAGAAAACACAGTCTGCCTTTTGATTTCCATTTGCATGGAATATCTTTGTCCAACCCTCCACTTTCAGTCTGTGTATGTCCTTACATTTAAAGTGAGTATCTCTTGGGGCACGCGGGTGGCTCAGTCGGTTGGGCGTCCAACTTTGGCTCAGGTCATGATCTTGCAGTTTGTGAGTTCAAGCCCCGCTTGGGGCCCTGTGCTGACAGCTCAGAGCCTGGAGCCTGCTTCAGATTCTGTGTCTCCCCCTCTCTCTGCCCCTCCCATGTTCATGCTCTGTCTCTCTGTCTCTCAATAATAAATAAACATTTTTTTAAAAAAATGTTTTTAAATAAAGTATCTGTTGTAGGCAACATATAAGTGGGTCTTAATTTTTTTTATCCATTCAGTCACTGTATGCCTTTTGATTGCAGCAGTTGGTTCACTAACATTTGAAGTAATTACTGATTGGCTGCATACTTATTGCCATTCTGTTCATTGTTTTCTGGTTGTTTTTACAGGTCTTCTCTATTCCTTTCTTGTTTGCTCTCTTCCCTTGTAGTTCGATGGCTTTCTTTAGTGTTACATTTAGATTCTTTTCTCTTTATTATTTTGTGCATTATTACAGGTTTTTAATTTGTGGTTACCACAAATTCAGACAGAACATTAGATTCACACAGAACAGCTTATGTGTATAGCAGTCTATATTAAGTTGATGGTCCCTTAAGTCTAAACACATTCTAAAAGCATTAAATTTTTACTCTCTCCTCCATGTTTTTACATATATGATGTCATATTATTTTTGTTTTGTGTATTTCTTGGCTAGTTTTTGTAGATATAATTTATTTTTACTACTTTTGTGTTTTTTTTTTTAATTTTTTTTCAACGTTTTTTATTTATTTTTGGGACAGAGAGAGACAGAGCATGAACGGGGGAGGGGCAGAGAGAGAGGGAGACACAGAATCGGAAACAGGCTCCAGGCTCCGAGCCATCAGCCCAGAGCCTGACGCGGGGCTCGAACTCACGGACCGCGAGATCGTGACCTGGCTGAAGTCGGACGCTTAACCGACTGCGCCACCCAGGCGCCCCACTACTTTTGTGTTTTAAACTCCATACTGGCTTTGCAAGTGATTAATCTACTACCTCAACTATATGTTTCCTTTTACCTCTGAAATTTTTTCCTGTCATAATTTTTAGTTATGATATTTTCAATTAAAGAATTCTCTTTAATACTTCTTATAAGGCTTGTTTAGTGCTGATGAACTCCTTTAACTTTTTTTTTTTTTTTTCAGTCTAGAGTTTGTCTGGGAAACTATCTCTCCTTCTGTTCTGAATGATAACCTTACTGGGTAAAATATTCTTAGTTGTAGGTTTTTTCCTCTCAGCATTTTGAATACATCATGCTACTCCCTTCTGGCCTAAAAAGTTTATGCTGAAAAAAATCAGCTGATAGCTTTATGAGGTTTCCCTTATATGTAACTGTTTTTCTTTTCTTTTGCTGCTTTTAAAATTCTGTTTATCAGCACTTGTCTCCATTTTAATTATTTTGTGTCTTGGTGTGGACCTCCTTGGGTTCATCTTGTTAGGGGCCCTCTGTGCTTCTTGAATCTGGATGTTTGTTTCCTTCCCCAGGTTAGGGAAGTTTTCAGCTATTATTTCTTCAAATAAGTTTTCTACCCCTTTCTCTCTCCTCCTTTTGCAATCCCTATAATGTGAATGTTATTATTCTTGATGATGTTGCAGAGGTTTTTTAACCTATTCTCCTTTTTTATTATTCTTTTGCCTTTTTGCTATTCAGCTTAGTGGCTTTCCATCACCCTGTCTTCCAGATGGCTGATAGTTCCTTTGCCTCCTCTAATCTGCTCTTGATTCCCTCCGGTGCATTTTTTTAATCTCAATTATTGAATTCTCAGCTCTGACTGCTTCTTTTATGTTTTAAACATCTTTGTTGAAGTTGAAGTTCCTGGAGTTAAGCCACTGATTTTCAAACCCAGATATTATGGGGATTTGTCTTCCAGTTCAAGTCCTCTGTGCCAGGAGTGCCTGGTGTGGAGTCTGATCCTCTCACATCTCTGTGTTTGTGATGTCTCACCTATTGTGTGCTGGGTGTTTAGTTCCCAATTGTGTTTCCACTCCTCTTAACCTTTTTGATGTGGCCTTCTCTCTATGATTAGCTGTGGAAGGTCTGTTCTGCCAATCTTCAGGTTGTTTTCAGAGTTATTTGCATAGATATAGCTGTTATCTCAGTGTATCCATGGGATGAGGTGAGCTCAGGATCTTCTCACTCTGCCATTTTCCTAAAACTCCCTGGGTTTGACTTTTTAAGATTCCACACATAATTGATATTAAACAGTATTTTTTCCTGTAACTTATTTCATTCAGCATAATGCCTTGAAGGTTCATCTAAGCTTTTGTAAATGGCAGGAGTTCCTTCTTTCTCATGGCTGAATATTCCAATGTATACATTTACCACAATCTTTTTTCTCTATTCATCTGATGATAAACACTTAGGTTGTTAACCAGTATTATTGTGGATAATGCTGCAGTGAACGTGGGGGGCAGATACCTCTTCCAGATCCTATTTCATTTCCTTTGGATACATACCAAGAGATGAGATTACTAGATCATATGGTAGTTCTATTTTTAATCTTTGAGGAATCTCCACACTGTTTTCCATAATGGCTGCACCAATTTATACTTTCACCACCAATGCACAAGTGTTTCCTGTTCTCCACACCTTTGCCAACACTTGTTATTTCTTGTCTTTTTTGATGATACCAATTCTAACAGGCATGAGGTGATATCTCACTGTGGTTTTCACTTGCATGTCCCTGATAATTAGTGACGTTGAACACCTTTTCATGTACCTGTTGTCCATTTATATGCCTTCTTTGGGAAAATGTCTATTCAGTTCCTCTGCCCATTTTTTTATTTGGGTTGTTTGCTTTTTCACTACTGAGTTGCATCAGTTCTTTATAGATTTTGAATATCAATCCCTGCCCATTGTGTGCTGGGGTTTAGTTCCCAATTGTGTACATATAACTTACAAAGACTTTCAGATAAATAATTTACAAATATTTTCTTCCATTACATAGGTTGCTGTTCATTTTGTTGACTGTTTCTTTTGCTGTGCAGGAGCTTTTTAGTTTGACACAGTCCCACTTAATGATTATTGTTCTTGTTGTTTGTGCTTTTGGTGTCATATCCAGAAGATCATTACAAAGATCAATGCCAAGAAGATTTTTCCTGGAGCACCTGGGTGGCTCAGTCGGTTAGGCATCCGACATCGGCTCAGGTCATGATCTCACGGTTTGTGGGTTCAAGCCCCGCATTGGGCTCTGTGCTGACAGCTCAGAGCCTGGAACCTACTTCGGATCCTGTGTCTCCCTCTCTCTCTGCTCCTCCCCCACTCATGCTTGCTCTCCCTCTCTCTCTCTCTCTCTCTCTCTCTCTCTCAAAAATAAATAAAGCTTTAAAAAATTTTTAAAAATAAGATGTTTTCTTCTAGGAGTTTTATAATTTCAAGACTTAAATTTAATTAAGTCTTTTACCCATTTCAAGTTAATTTTTATAAGTGGTTTAACATAGGAATCCAATTTGATTCTGCTACTTATTATTCTTATGTAACCAGTAAAACAAATAGGAATATTATATCCCCAAATAAGTCACAAATATTACTTAACTGATCTGACTTAGGGAAATTTTATTTCTAATTCTTAAATAATGTTAAAGCCAAACCTTCTTTTTTTTTTTTTTAAATGTTTATTTATTTTTGAAGGAGAGAGAGACAGAGTGTGAGTGGGGTAGGGGCAGAGAGGGAGGGAGACACAGAATCCAAAGCAGGCTCCAGGCTCCGAGCTGTCAGCACAGAGCCCGACGCGGGGCTCGAACTCACAAACCGCGAGATCGTGACCTGAGCCAAAGTCGGCTGCTCAACCGACTGAGCCACCCAGGCGCCCCAAAGCCAAACCTTCTATGCAGCTTTTAATCTTTGACAACAATCTATAATAGATATATTTGTAGTAAGTTTTAATATTATTTGTAATCAATGCTAACAAGCAATAAAATTGGCAGCTAGAGAAATAAATGTTAGGTTATAACTAGTCTACAAGTTAGGACTCAAAAGTTGAGTGCTCTTATAATGTGATAATAAAATAATAAAATGACACTATAGGAAGATGT